TATATTGTTAAATGGTTTTGTCCCTCTTATTAGAAAATTCTAAGAATAAATTGTTCTCAGTAGCAATTACATTTTAAGACTCACCTTCGGACTCTCTTTACTATGATGATGGAACAAAGATAATTTTTTATTGGCTCCATTCTAAATACAACCCACCTCAAATGGTCCTGAGAACAGATAAATGGGAGATTTCCATAGGAGTGAAGTACGTGCCTCAACTGAACAAACTAGGCCTTAGGAGTTGGGGCTCTTAAATATTCCTTCTCCTAATGAGGGAGCAGGTGTACACCAAAGGTTCTAAACTGGTTTTATTTCACAATGTCAATAGAAAAATACACAATTAGCAAGGGATTTAGTTTTCCAATTAAATATTATTAACTCTTGTTAAAGGAAACCAGAAAGTACACCCCAGACACATTTCTTATGATAAAAGCAATAATTTTAAAAAGAAACCAATTTAAAAACAAATGCAATCAGGTTAACCAATAAAGGCAAAAGCTGTTTTTTTGAAAAGACTAGTAAGAAATAGGTAATCTTGTACCAAATATAATCTAGAAAAAAAAAGAATAGTTTGAACAAAGATAATATAAGCACAAATACAGGGAAAATATTTCCAAATTATAAAGTATCCAAGAAATGCCTGGCATGGTGGTACACAACTGTAATCCTAGCACTCGGAGGCTGAGGCAGGAGGGTCCCCACAAGTTTGAGGCCAGCCTGAATTACAGAGCGAGACCCTATCTCCAGAAAAAAAAAAGTATCCAAGACAATTTACACCAATATATTTGAAAGTTATAAAAATATATTGTACCTATTTTGGTCTAAATGGAAGAAACACTTGAATAAACCAGTAATGATAAAAATACTGGTTTTTTTCTTGAAAAATACAAGACTAGTCAAATTCATAGAACAACAGACTAGAAGCAACTCAATAATCCATTTTCTATAGTTAAAAAACATGTACAGTCACATAATAAAAACTATGTTTTCAATATATACTTTTGTTTAATGATTTTAATTATTTTTGGCAATAGGAAAAATTTATCAACTTGTATATAATGTACACTAAAAAATTCCTACAAATTAGTAAGGCAAAACAAGCACCCAAATAAGAAATCTCACAAGCGCCAAGGTTCTGAGTTCAATCCCCAGTACCAAAAAAAAAAAAGTAAGACATATATGACTAAACCTAATACAAAAAGGAAAGAGTCAACTACATGAAAAGATACTCAACTTGTCTTAGTAGGCAGAGAAATGCAGTTTATTACCACAATATATTACTTTACTTTCAACCTGTTGGCAAAATTTTAAAAGTTGGGCAATACTATATGTGGAGAGAATAGGGAGGTTTTATTCACTGTTGCTGAACAATTAATCAGAACTACCATTTTGGAAATGTCAGCATCTACTAGTCTTCCAATGGATCCAGCAATTCCACTATTAATCTGCCAGAGTGAAAGTACTGCATATATGCACTCGGAGCTATGTACAAGAGTGTTTACAGCAGCAAATAATCAAATACAGAATGTACTTTTTACAATAGGTTATATTTCAATGCAAATGAACAGACTATATAGCAGGGGTTCCCAAAGAGGGGATAAAGCCAATATATGTGATTTTTTTTAATATTATATAATGGAATGTGTGTCATCATTTAGAAGGTCTACATAATTAAGTGAACCAATATTTTACAAAAGAGCGATAAAAGGGCGAAAGAGCAGTTCAAAGGCCAAGACAGAAAATGCAAAGTTCACTCACCTGGTTTCAAATCCTACACTGCAGCTAACGTTTAAGAAACTGTTAGTATAAAAAGTGATGAATATAAAAAAATAATACCAGTAAAGGTTATTAAAATATTCCTTTTTCCAACCACTTAGTTCTACGTGAGGCCCGATTTTTCCTCCTATCTTTCAGCCAAAACAATACACTGCAAGAGACTGAAAGCCAAAGAAGAACTTTGGTGATTAAAAGAGACAATAATGGTACTTGTAAAACAGTAAAACAATGTCACTCTTGTCACTAATATTTTGCAGTGGATAATTACATTAAAAATGTGAATTACATTAAGATGTAATGGGTTTTTTAAATGTACAAATAAATGTCTATATACACAGTGTATTTAAAATTGGTCAGTTCCACCATCGAATGTGATATTGATCAACAGATACAATCCATATAAACGAAAGATCTTTGAGGTCCTCAATAATTTTTAAAAATGTAAAGAAGTCTTGAGACCAAAAAGTTTCTGAGCTGCTGAACCATACGCACATGCTTCAACATGGGTGAATCTCAGAAACATAATGTTTAATAAAAAAACTCACTGCATATACAGTACAATTCTATTTGAAGTGCCAAAACAAATGAAAATAAATAATACAATTATTAAATGTATATAAGTGATAAAACTAAAACGAAGGTAAGAGAATAAAATAATAATAGCATAAAATTAATAATGGCCCATGGTGATGGGGCAAAGAATGTCTTCCTTTTGGAATAGACACAAAACGTTTCTAAGGTACCTATGGTATTCTACTAAGCAAGATACAGAGATAGGATTTTTTACAGTACATATTGCCTTATTTTACAAAAAATTAAAAAATACAGGAAGATACATCTATTCTCCTGGAATAAAAACTCAAAAGAATATCTCTTCTTCTCAAATTAATCTATAAATTCAATGTAATCACAAAATTCCAACAAGATGTTCTATAGAACTTGAAAAGATGGTTCTCAATTTCACCTGGAAGAAAAACCCAAAAAACCCCAAAGCTTTTTTCAAAAGAAAGTACCAAAATATATTATAAAGCAACAATAACCAAAATTGCATAGTATTAGCTAAGTGTGTCAAAGATGTGTGTTCAGACCTGCTAAAAACATAAATAAAGGATACTTCAACCTGGCAAAAATGTTTGACTTTCTTGTTCGCCAAAAAAGATAAAAATTAATTTTTTTCAATTATTAGGTGAGATATTTAGAAAATACAGCACTAACAAACCGAGTTGAAAACACACCTTTTGAGAGTGAATTTAAGAGAACAATCATTTGAGGGCAATTTAGCACATTATCCAGCATTTTCATAAGGACTCAATTCTACAGAAATACTGTCATGAACACCTGAAGCATATTTATGATAGAAAAAAATCACTGCAGATTGTTATAAGGAAATCTTGAAAATAAACATCCACCAATAGATAAAAGAAAATAAATGCAATATTTAACAATTATTAGGCAAGTTTTTAGGCACTTTTTGGATTTTAATTCATTTAAGCTTTGCTCAGTGGCAGTATCGTAGCCATTGGGGTTTATCTGAGGTGCGATTATTGCTAATTGGATTTTAATTCATTTAAGCAAGTATGTTTGGGCCAGATATGCTTACGATGGATCTCTTTTGAAAGAAAATTAGTTATATTTAAGCAAATGCACTGAACACACATTTTAAGCTTTGTCTTCCTTAATAATTACAACAACTGGGCACTTCAGTCACATTTTTTTCTGGCCTAAGTTAGTTATTGATGTACTGAAAACACTATATAGTTATCCATTCTACAAGGCAGCTTTCCAATAGAAGAGTATTCTTACAAAGGAACACTTGCTTTGTTATAAACCTTCTAGGCAGATTACCAATAGCGTCAGATTCACTAACACTGACTTCTAAACAATCATCCCTTTCCCTTTTAAAGCTTCCTCAACGGAATACTGTGCGTCCCCAATTACTCATATTATTAAGCAGCAAGACAATGTACTTGTACAACACTTAAGTTGAGGAAACATTTTCATTAACCTTATTCTAATTTTACCTTACAAGGAGAAAAGAAAAGAACGTTTTAAATTTATGGATTTCGAATTGACAAGCAATGATTAAGAAACAAGAAATTTCAAACTATCTTCCTCATATTTTGAGGTTCATCGGCCAGTTTCTACCAGCTGGTTGGTGCAGTCTTCAGACAAACTGCTGGGTTGCACGGACCAACTTACTGTAATGTTGCTCCTACATTACTCAGTTTGTTGCCAAGTGACCCTACGGGTAGACTTATTTTACTTTACAAAAGGTCACATACTGACGTGTTCTCCGCAGAAAGAAACGTGTGCAGCAGGCTTAGGAAATGATTTTCTAGCCAGTCCAGATCTAGCGAGGGAACTTATATCCTTGAGGAGGATGAAGCTGCACTCCGACAAGTGACGCAAACGAAACGTTTAAACTGTTGTAGGTTTTCTGCCTCAAAAGAGGTAAAGACGAATTTCGAAGCCCTGTACAGATCTGCACTACGGTTAAGACTTACATACTGGCGAAACCGAAACTGGCCCCAGGTCGTAGAACGTAGGATTTTCCAAAGGGCAACCAAACAGAAAGGGCTGGGAGCCACGCCTCCCCTTCCACCACTCTCGGCGAGCAAGGCTAACAGGTGGCAAGAACTCAAGACCACGCAACAGCCCGGGCGGCGAAGCACCCGGTGCCACCACGCGCCGAGGAGCTGCGCAGTGCGCTCAGCTTTGGGACCGGCTCGCTCCCTCGCCGTGTCCACGTACAGGACGCCCCAACACTGGAAGGGATTTACCTGTCACTGAGGACTTCAGACCACCGTGCAGTTTGCTTCCCTTGCTTTTCCAGGCTCCCTGCTCCTCAATCCCGACCTGGCGACCAGGTGACAATTAGGTGCACACAGAGCGAAGCGCGGTTTTGGGCCCTCTCCGCGGCAGCCCCTCCCCAGCGAACGCCGCGCTCCCCACGTCTCGCCCGGCCCGGCGTCCCGTCTCACCGGAGGCACACGGGCGTCCACCAGCCCCAAGACGCCTGACCGCCTGAAGGAACGTGTCGACTTTTTCGCCGCCTAGCGCTAGCAACCGGAAGTAAATCCTCGCGGCCAAAGGAAAAAGAGTGAGAGGGAAGGGCAGAAAAGAGAGAAAGTGAAAACTGAACTGCCGAGTCCTCCAGGAGCCTGAAACCAATCAAGGGAGAGAACTCACAGCGCAGGCGCGAGTCACCATTGACGTCCACGCGGCGCTCACTTTTTCTCTCTGCGCAGGCGTAAGGTCACAGCCTACCTCACCGTGGACTGATGAGCCTTGAACCTGCGGCTTCTCGCGGGAGTGGCACCCAGCCGGAAACGGAAGATGCCTTACAAAAAGAGGCGGTGACTGTGGGGGTTTGTCATAATACGTAGTGGAGTTTGTACCCCTTTAGATTTTCCCTGTTGTCAGTACCTTCTCCCTCGAGGTACCAGGACGCCTTCTTTGTTTTGTCTGACCCAAAAGAAACGTTTCCGAAATTTCGCTGCTGTTTTAATTTACTAAACGCTAGCTCCATTAGTATCTGCTAAAACAACTTTATGTGGAGAGCACGAAAGTGACCATAAATACAATTCACGTGTATTCTTACTTGAGATAAGCATCAGTGAGAGACTAAGGAAAGCCACCACAGGGACCATGCCTTGCATTGGAAATATTAGATTTTAGACATTCAGAAGTTGCATTTTTTTCCCGTGTCGAGGTGCAGTACTAGTCACTGATATCACATTCTGAGCACGTTTGACAAGAACCTTGACTATAATGGAATTTATCCTAGAGGCAAGTAACAAACACCATCACAATAAAATAGATGTTCAGATAATAGATACTGTTAATCTGGAAATGAAAGGGGTTTGGGGCTGCAGGCCAGCGCAGAGCGGGGGAGAACTACAAAGTCTTAAAGAAAAGTGGACATTGGAGGTCAAAATCCAAAGACAAAACAAACCAGAGCCTGTGGTGTATGCCTGTGATTCCAGTGTTCAGGAGGCTGATGCAGGAGGATCTCCACGAGTTTGAGGCCAGTTTGGGCTACACGGTGGATCAAGATCAGCCTGAACTACAAACACGTGCACATACACATGCACACGTGCACACATGAAACAAATGAATTCTTAAAAGAACTGGAGGAAGAGCTTTCCAAGCAGAAGGAAAAACAAATGTACAGGCCCAGAGAAAAACTGAAATCAAGTCTGGTTAAGACATGAAGAATTTTTCTGTAATAGTAGAGAATAAAATAGAGCTGTATGACAGGTGCATGGAATCAGTTTGTAAAGTTTCATGATTTATCTTACAACAAATATTCATGAAGCCACCAGCTGCCACCCGCAGCTCATGTTGAAATCTAATTCCCATTGCAATAGTATTAAGAGGTGGGATCTTTAAAAGTTGGCTAGGTCATGAGGGCTCTGGTCTGATAAATGGGTTAATGTCATTATTGCAGAGGCAAGTTACTTATCACAAGAGTGTGTTCCTGATAAAAGGATGCAGTTTGGCCTGATTTTCACATTGTTTCTGGGTGCTTGCTTGCCTGCCCCTCTACCAGATTGTAAAGCAGCATAAAGACCCTCATCAGATGCAGCCTCTGGGTCTTGGATCTTCCCAGGCTCCATAACCACAAGCCAAGTAAACTTTTTTATTGGTTTTGATTTTCCCAGTCCAGTCTGTGGTATTCTGTTGTAGCAGCGGAAATGGACAAAAACATCACCCATTCCTACCACCAAACCTAATCACTATTCTTACATCCATGGTAGTCTCTTCCTTACATTCAAAAACAGGCTTGACACCTAAATATGCATCCTAAAACTTTAACATTTATTTGCTTGTGATTTGAACTCTAAATAAATAGTTTTCTGACTGTACTGTGAATCTCATGTTTTTCGGGTGCTCCTTTTCTTTCATTGTCATTGCTATATATGTAGATGTGGCACGGTTTATTTGTTTTGCCATTGATGAACATTTGGATTGTTTCCACTTCCTGATTATTATAAATGCCGAAACTGAACTTTCTTATCATGTCTCTTCATGCATATGTGCAATCCTTTTGTTGGGTGTATACCCAGTAGTGGAATCCTGGAATGCTAAACATGATATTTTGGATTTTTGTTTCTGCAGTATTTATTACCCCCCACGCTATTGGCCAAGCTTTCCTTCTTTGCTGATATTGGGCCTGTTTAAGTAAATTCTTTTGGTTGAAAGAATATCAGACATTACACAAGAGTCTTAAGTGTGCTTGTGTAGTTTGACTTGGCTTGTCCTGAGGTGATTCACATGAGGAGAACATGTCTCATGTAGTTGTTGCCCTTTCATCCTGCATCTCCAGAACAAATCTTTGTGGAGTAGACATGATGCCAATTTACAGCCCAACTCATCCTAGATTAACAGAACCCTAGATTTCCTGAAGATTGATGAGCCTGAGAATTAATGCTGTTATTATAAGCCAGTTATTAATGATGTAATTATTAGTGGTTCATTTTGCAACATTATAATGGCAATAAAGAAGGCATATGTTCAAGTTTAGTAAATAAGGAAAACTTTTTGAAAGTTAGCTTTATCAAGTTAAATTTTCACAAGCAGAATATAAGAATTCTAGTTCTTTTACATATTTGCTAATACTTTTTATTTTAGCTACTCTAGAGAGTACATTACAGTTTGAATTTGCATTGCCTATAACTTTGTTTTTTTCAAATGGATTTTGGCTAGTATAAGTTTTTGAATTTCTGTATAAATTACACAATCAACTTATCTTTTTTCTCACCTCAAAAAAGACAGGATTTTTGTTGGGATTATGTTAAATATATTTCAATCTGGGGAAGAATTAACATCTATTGTCATCTCAAATCCATGAGACATTCATTATCAATCTAGGTCTTTTAAATTTCAGCAATATTTATAATTTTCAGCGCACAGATCTTCCAAACATGCTATTATATTTATCTATATTATTGATCCTGTTCTTAATGGTTCTTAGACTATTTACAAAGATTTGTTAATATATAAATAAAATCAATTTTTCTTATTTATCTTGTATTTATCTTGTATCTTGTATTAATCTTGCAATTTACTAAACTCACTTATATCTAGGAGCT